AAGATTTTGTAGCCATCTTTTATTTATTTAAGAGTAATTTGAGGGGTGACTGGGTGGCTCAGTTGGTTAAGCGTCTGACTCTTGATTTTGGCTCAGATTGTGATCTCAGTATCCTGAGATTGAGCCCCCTGTTGGACTCTGCACTTAGCAGAGTTGGCTTGAGATTCTTTCCCTCTCTCTCTCCCTCTCCCTGTGCTCCCCCCCAACCCTGGCTCACATTTGCTGTCTCTCTAAAATAAATAAATAAAATCTTAAAAAAAATCTTAAAAAAAACCCCAGTAATTTGAATTTTCCTTCATCTGTATTACCATTTCCTGGTCTTTGCCCATTCTTTATTATAGGCTTTTTTTTTTTTTTCATTGTTTTGTAGGAGCTCTTTTATACTACAGAAATTAACTCTCAATGAGTTAGTTTTTTTCCTCTTTAACTTTTGTTCTAGGAGTGGAGTTTGATATGCATTTACCTTTTCTCATTCTCCTTTGTTATCTCAGTGATGTACGTTTGTTTAAGATGAGTGACAGGAGGTGGGAACATTTTTGCTATACATATGAAAAAGCTATATAGAATATTGGGTATTGTACCATAAATTGCAAAGAGCCTTGACTTGAAAAAAAAAAAAAAAAAAAGACCTGGTGTTTATTTTGCTTTACTCAAGCCTATTCAATTTTTCCATTTCCTAAACTAGCTATATTACCCCATACTTCCCAACAGAAAGCTGTTCTTTTCTTCCATAAACATTCATTTTTTTTTTTTTTAAATTTATTTGAGAGAGAGAGAGAATGAGAAACAGAGAGCATGAGAGGGAGGAGGGTCAGAGGGAGAAGCAGACTCCCTGCCAAGCAGGGAGCCCGATGCGGGACTCGACCCCGGGACTCCAGCATCATGACCTGAGCCGAAGGCAGTCGCTTAACCAACTGAGCCACCCAGGCGCCCCTAACGTTCATTTTTCACTAGTTAAGCCAGTCTAACTACTACTAATCCTCCAAGTATTGTTTAAGCATCATGTAAAGCCCTTCCTGACATTTTTAAAAAAAGATTTTATTTATTTATTTGACAGAGATACAGCGAGAGAGGGAACAAGCAGGGGGAGTGGCAGAGGGAGAAGCAGGCTTCCTGCTGAACAGGAAGCCCAATGTGGGGCTCCATCCTAGGACCCTGGGATCCTGACCTGAGCCGAAGGCAGACGCTTAATGACTGAGCCACTCAGGCGCCCCTTTCCTGACATTTTTAAGCCAAGTTTGAGACTCCTACTCATTCCTTCCATCACACTTTCTGCATATCTTTATTATAGAATTCTCAAATTTTATTGATTTGATTATGTAAGATTGTAAAATTTGTAAGATGTATGATTTTATTGTAAGAATATAATTGAAAAAATTATAAAATTTTAGTAGATGTATTCTTACATGCTATGAAATATTTGAAATAATCAGTATTTTTAGTTGCTAATATATGCAGAAATGACAAAGTACATTTTTTTCCCAGATTTCTTGAGGTTTGATTGACAAAAATTGAATATATTTAGGTTATACAACATGATTTTTTGTAAAAGTATACAACCTGATGATTTAATGCATGTATACATTGTGATGTGATCCTAACAATCAAGTTAATTAACACATTCAGCACCTCACATAGTTACCAAACTTGTATGTGTGTATGTAGGGGGAATACTTTTACCCTCGTAGCAAATTTCAAGTATATAATACAATATTATTAATTATAACCACTGTTAGATCTCTAGAACCTAATTATCTTGTAATTGAAAATTTGTATTCTTTGACCAGCTTTTCCCCATTCCCCCTATTCTCAGCCCCTGGCAATCACCATTCTATTTTCTAATTTTATGAGTTTGAATTTTTAACATTTCACATATAAGTGAGATCATACAATATTTGTCTTTGTGTCTGGCTTATTTCACTTAGTATAATGTCTTCCAGGTTCATCCTTGTTGTAACATGGCAGGATTTTCTTCTCTTTTTATGGTTGAATAATAGTCTATTTATATATTTTTCATCTATCTAATCTACCACATTTTCCTTATCCCATTCATCTGTTGATGGATATGTAGGTTATGTCCTTATTTTGGCTATTGTGAAAAATGCTGCTGTGGATGAACATGGGATTGCACAATCTTCAAGACTGTGCTTTTGTTTCCTTTGGATGTATACTCAGAAGTGGGATTGCTGGATCTTTCAGTAGTTCTACTTTTAATTTTTTGAGGAATTTCCATACTGTTTTCCAAAATGGCTGAACCAATTTACATTCCCACCAACATTGTACAAGAATTCCTTTCCTCCCCCATTCTTGCCAACACTCACCTTTTTTTGATTATAGCCTTCCTAACAGATGTGAGGTGGTAGCTCCTTGTAGTTTTGATTTGTATTACCTTGACAATTTAGCAATGTCCAGCATCTTTTCATGTACCTCTTGGCCATTTGTATGTTTTCTCTGGAAAAATGTTTATTCAGGTCCTCTGCCTATTTTTAAATCAGATTATTATTATTATTTTGCTGTTGTGTTATATGAGATTTTTATATATTTTGGATATTCACCCCTTATTGGAAATATGGTTGGCAAATATTTTTTCCTATTTAGTAGGTTGCTGTTTCATTTTGTTGGTTGCTTTTGCTGTACAGAAACTTTTTAGTTTGATGTAGTCCCACTTATTTTTGCTTTTGTTGTTTATGCTTTTGATGTCATATTCAAAAAAATCATTGCCAAGACCAGTGTCAAGGAGCTTTTTCCATATGCTTTCTTCTATGGTTTTTATGGTCTTAGGTTTTGATCCATTTTCAATTCATTTTTGTGTATAGTATAACATAAGGATAAAATTTCTTTTGCACGTGGATATACAATTTCCTCAACACTATTTTTTTTTTTAAAGATTTTATTTGTTTATTTGAGAGAGAGAATGTGAGAGAGCACAAGCAGGGGGAGCAGCAGAGGGAGAAGGAGAAGCAGACTCCTCACTGAGCAGGGAGCCTGATGTGGGGCTCGATCCCAGGACCCTGAACCTGAGCTGAAAGGCAGCCGCTTAACTGACTGAGCCACCCAGATGCCCCTCAACACTGTATGTTGAAGAGACTATCCCTTCTCCATTGTGTATTCTTGGTTCCCTCGTCAAAGATTAGTTGAGTATAGGGGTGTGTTTATTTCTGGGTTGTCTATTTTATTCCACAGATTTATGTGTCTTTCTTTTTTTTTAAAGATTTTATTTTTAAGTAATCTCTACACCCAACATGGGGCTCAAACTTACAACCCTGATATTAGTCCAGGTGTCCCATTATGTGTCTTTTTATGACAGTATTACAGTGTTTCGATTATTATAGCTTTGTAACATAGTTTTAAATCAGGAAGTGCGATGCCTCCAGCTTTGTTCTTACTCAAGATTACTTTGGCTACTTTTGTTTTTCCATATGAATTTTAGGACTGCTTTACCTATAAAAATTGCTACTGGAATTTTGAAATGGATTGCATTGAATCTGTAGATCACTTTAGATAGTAAGGACATTTTAACAGTATTCTTTCAATCTGTGAACATAGGATATCTTTCCATTTATTTATGTTATCTTTAGTTTCTTTAGTGTCTTATAGTTTTCCATGTACAAATATTTTACCACCTTTGTTAAATTTATTCTTAAGTATTTTCTTTGTTTAAATACTATTTTAAAAAGAAATTGTTTCTTAATTTTTTTTTCAGATTACAGTTTACTTTTGAATTTGATTTTAGGTCTTGCATTTTAGTGTTAGTGAAGTGTGCCTCTGCTGAAATTGTCAAATTAAAAAAATTAATTTTTAAAAAGGACCATATGGTAGTTCATGTTGTTTATTAAATCTAACAGGAAGAGAAACTTTGAAGAATGAAAATCTTTGACATTTAAATTTTTTTTTTTAAAGATTTTATTTATTTATTTATTTGACAGAGAGATAGACAGAAGAGCACAAGCAGAGGGAGTGGCAGAGGGAGAGGGAGAAGCAGGCTCTGCACTGAGCAGGGAACCCAATGCGGGACTCGATCCCAGGACCCTGAGATCATGACCTGAGCTGAAGGCAGACCCCTAACCATCTGAGCCACCCAGGCGCCCAGACATTTTAATATTTTTCTACCTCTACTTAAAACTAAAGATTTTGCTAAAATTTGATTTTTTTCTGATAACTTATTTTGATGACTCAGTATTGTAGGGTTATCTCATTACTCTTCATTGTGTCATAGGGCTAGATAACTAATCTTTCTGACTTCTTGCGGAGTTACCGTGGTAGAATTTGCAGGTGTTTAAGGAATGGGGTACAACTTGCTACGATGGTGATTGATAGAGCGGAGATGTTCATTTTTCAGGGTAGATGTCTTCAGAGAAACCTACCTTAATGAATTACCATGGTTCAGAGTATGGCCTACTGTTTGCAAACTATAATAGCTCCTTGACACTGGTCTTGGCAATGATTTTTTTGAATATGACATCAAAAGCGTAAACAACAAAAGCAAAAATAAGTGGGACTACATCAAACTAAAAAGCAAAAGCAACCAACAAAATGAAACGGGTCAGTGTAAGAGATAATCTTAAGGATTGTTTGTATTGACCAAATTTGTGAAACTGATTATAAAATCAGAAAACCCATTTTTTTTTATCATGAGAAATCTTACTGTCTTGTGCTGGATATTTTCTTATTGGTTCTACTAGTTTATTATATGCGCTAGGGAGATTTATGGGAAGCTAAACTGTAATCTGGGTACTTCTTGGTGAGCATGGAATCAGAAGAGGAGTTAGTTAAATCATGACAAAATAGTTAAAGATATATGTGAATGTATTTTGAAAGATTTTTTTTTTGCTTATTTTTAATAAGCATTCTTACAAGATTGCTTATCATTTAGGCCAGAAATATGTCTTGACTAATACTTTGATTGTTTGGGAAAATAGTTTTGGATGGTAAAACAAAAAGGGTTATATAAAATTTTCAAGCTATAGTTAAAGTATGTTTTCTTTTTTTTTTTTTAATAGTGTAAGACAAATGGAATGCAAGCCTTTTCTCAAGGTCATAATGAACAACAGCAACATCAGTCTCCAGTTAAAAAAGGTAAATTTTTTACCATAATTCCTAAATTTCATAAGGAAGTCTTAGCATTCCTGTTAATAGTTGCCTAGGTGCAAACCTTATGTACATAAGAAATTTTATTATATTCTTCCCATTGATTTCAGTCTATATTAGAAATGCTATAGGTTTGGGGCTCCTGGGTGGCTCAGTTGGTTAAGCGACTGCCTTCGGCTCAGGTCATGATCCTGGAGTCCCTGGATCGAGTCCCGCATCGGGCTCCCTGCTCGGCAGGGAGCCTGCTTCTCCCTCTGACCCTCCCCCCTCTCATGTGCTCTCTATCTCTCTCATTCTCTCTGTCTCAAATAAATAAATAAAATCTTTAATAAAAAAAAAAAAAAAGAAATGCTATAGGTTTGATTGCTTTACAGGAGAGACCATAATAACAAGGCTTAAACAAGATAGAAGCTTATTTCTGTATTTTCTATAACAGCTCATAATTGAGCTGGTGTATTCATTCTGCTCTGGTGAAGTGTTATTGGACTCAATCTCATTGCTTTGCCATCTTTAATGTATGGCTCTCATTGCCCAAGATGAATGCCTTTCCTCCAGCCGCCATATTCCCTGTCTAGCCATCAGGAAAGAGGTAAGGGGAGAGGTAGTTCTTAAAAGTATGACCATAAGTAGCATCTATCACTTTCACTGAATATCTCATTGGGCAGAACTTAGTCATACTATACAAACCAGACTGGAAATTGTAATCTTCCGCTGTCTAGACTGCTAATTCTGTTACTGAAGCAGAAGGGAAGAACTGCTCTTGGGGATAACAAGTAGTCTTTCCCACTAGCTACTTTTTAATAAAATAAAAATTATTAATTTAATTTCCAAATTTTTGTCAGTCTGTATAATTTAAAAGATATGAAAATACTCTATTAGCTTTTTCTTCTAGTATTTAACTCTATTTCTAAATAAAATGTTTAAATTGTTTCCAATTTTTTTATTTTTTGATATTGGCCGCCTATTTTGGAAAATAAGAACTTAACGTCTTCCACATCAGTTCCCTCACTTCTTTACCCTTCTATCTTCCCTCACAACCATATAGTTATTTCACAAGTTTGTTTTAACTGAATTACCACTCTATATAAATACAGTTGCTTAGCCAAGAGGTGCATATCTATTTCATACAATCCATCATTTTTCTTGGAGCTAATGTTTGCATTGTTTTTCTATGCAACTGCTGTTAACTTTTCCCCTTAAATGCTCCAAGAACTCTGTCACACTTACCTATAAAATATTTCTTATGCACAAATATATCAGTTGGTATTTTTTTTCCCCCTGAGGAGACTTCTCTTTCAGAATCCTCCATTATCCTGTTCCAGTATGGGCTGTTTACTCCTCAGTACTGTTGTCCTGGAATGTATTTTTACTATTATCTTGGGATACCCCATTGTAATTCTTTGGTTTCTTTCTTCTTTTAATTTTTATTTCATTTCATTTCATTTCATTTCATTTCATTTCATTTCATTTATGGAAGAGAGCGAGTGTGACCTGGTGGAGGAGCAGAGAGGTAGGGAGAAAGAATCTCAAGCAGACTCTGTGTTGAGTGCAGAGCCCAATGCGGGGCTCAGTCTCACGACACTGAGACCATGACCTGAGTTGAAATCAAGAGTCAGCGGCTTAACCAACTGAGCCACCCAGGCATCTCTTCTTTTTCCTTTTTAAATTGAAGTACAATTCACCATTTAAACCATTTAAAAATGTATAATTTGGTGGCTTTTAGTACAATATTGTACAAACACGACCACTATCTAGTTCCAGAACATTTTTATAATCCCAAAAGGAACCTCATACCCCTTAAGTAGTCATTTTCCATTCTCCCCTTTGCCAGCCACTGACAAACCCTAATTTACTTTTTGTCTTAATGGATATACTTATTCTGAACATCTCCTCTAATGGAATTATATTATATGTGACCTTTTGTGTCTGGCTTCTTTCACTTACCATAAGATTTTCAAGGTTCATCCATGTGTAGCATGTATCAGTACTTCATTCTTCATTCCTTTTTATGGCTAAATGATATTTTCTTGTATTGATATGTCACATTTTGTTTAACTTTCAGTTGATGGACATTTGGGTTGTAAACTTTTTGGCTATTATGAATAATGTTGCTATGAATATTTGTCATGTTTGTTTGAACACCTGTTTTCATTTCTCTTGGATATACACCTGGGATTGGACTTGCCAGGTCATGTGGTAATTCTATGTTTAATTTTTTGAGGAATTGCCAAACTGTTTTCCACAGTGGCTATACCATTTTACATTCCCAGTAGCAATATGTAAGGGTTCCAATTTCTTGATGTCCTTGTTAGGGTCTTTTTAAAATTTTTTTATTTTTTAAATTTTTTAAAAAAGATTTTATTTATTTGAGAGAGAGAGAATAAGCAAGAGAGAGAGCACAAGCATGAGAACACAAGCATGGGGAGGGGTGGAGGGAGAAAGAGAAGCAGACTCAGGGAGTCCGATGTGGGGCTCGATCCCAAGACCCTGGGATCATGACCTAAGCCGAAGGCAGACCCTTAACTGCCAGAGCCACCCAGGCACCCCTAGGATCTTTTTTTATTATAGTCATTCCAGTGGGTGTGAAGTGGTATCTCGTGATTTTGATTTATATTTCTCTAATGACTAATGATTTTGAGTGTCTTTTCATGTGCTTATTGGCCATTTGTATTTTTTCTTTGGAGAAAGGTCTATCCAAGTCCCTTGACCATATATTAATTGGGTTATTTTATTTTTGTGGTTGAGTTATGAGTTTTGGATACTACACTTTCATTTATTTTCTCTCTGCAACTTCCCTCCCCCCACCTGCATGCTCACTTCCTTTCTTCCCCTCCACACACACACACACACACACACGTATGTGTGTGTATATAAGGTATTTGAGATATATATATTAGACCTTTATCAGATATATGATACTAGGCTCTTATCAGATATATACTTATCAGATGTATAATTTACACATATTTTCTCCTATACTAGAGTTTCTTTTCATTCTCTTGATAGTGTACGTATCTGTACAAATTAAAAAAAAATTGATGAAGTCTAGTTTCTTTTTTCTTTTGTTGCTCATGGTTTTGATGTCATGTTTAAGAAATCATAGCCAAATCTCAAGTCATGGAGATTTACCCCTATAAGTTTTATAATTTTAGCTCTTACATTTAAATCTTTTTTCCATTTTGAATTAGTTTTTATATATGGTGTTAAGTATAAGCCCAAATTCAATTTTTTTTTTGCCTTGGATATCCAGTTGTCTCATCATCATTTGTTAAAGAGACTATTTTTTCTCCATTGGATGATCTTGGCACCTTTGTTGAAAATCATTTGAGCACAGGAGTATGTTTTTATTCCTCGACTTTCAGTTTTGTTTTCTTGATGATATGTCTGTCCTATACCGGTACACACTGTTTTGATTACTGTAGCTATATAGTAAGTTTTGAAATTGGGAAGTGTGAGTCTTCAACTTTGTTCTTTTTCAAGATTGTTTTGGTTATTTGGGGTTTCTTGCAATTCTATGTGATTTTTAGGATCAGCTTTCCCATTTCTGCAAAAAAGGCTCCTTTTCTTTCAAAAGGAATTTTGATAGGGCTAATAATAGTGAACTTGTAGATCACTTTGGGGGATGTTAACAATATTAAATTTTTCAGTCCATGAACATGGAGTATATTTCCATTTATTTCAATCTTTATTTTATCAGTGTCTTGGTTTTCAGTGTATAAGTCTTGTACCTCTTCAGTTAAATTTACTCCTAATCTTTGTCATGCTAATGGAACTGTTTTCTTAATTTCCTTTTGGACTGTTTATTGATAGTGTAGAAAATACAACTGATTTTGTGTGGGGACATTGAGCTTACAGAAATAAAAAGGGTTATAAGAATACCCAGTAGTGCAATTGCTGGGTCGTGCTCTAATCTTTATTATTTCTCTTCTCCTGCTGGGTTTAGGCTTTATTTGCTGTTCTTTCTCCAGCTCCTTTAGGTGTAGGGGTTAGGTTGTGTATTTAGACCTTTCTTGTTTCTTGAGAAAGGCTTGTATTGCTATATACTTTCCTCTTAGGACTGCCTTTGCTGCATCCCA